CACATCAGCCCTTCTCTTTGTGTCTGTTATTAAAAAAAAACCCTGAGGTGGTATTTGTGCAGAGACACCAACCCCACGCTGAGCTGCGAACAGCCGCGCTTGGTGGGGACACGCAGGACACTCGTGTAACACCCTTCCTAGAGCACCTGAATTAAGGCTGATGGCTGTGAAGGTCACTCAGTTGTGAAGGATCAAAACAAAGCTGCTGCCAACCCTGAGACCACACAGGCACCAGGGGGAAAGGAGAGTAAGTGAAACAAGGTGAGAGCTTTTCTGTGGGAGATCATCAGGTTTCTGCTTTCATCGAATCCCAGACTGGTTTGGGTTGGGAGGGACCTTAAAGCTCATCCAGTCCCAACCCCCCTGCCAGCAGCAGGGACACCTTCCACTAGACCAGGTTGCTCAAAGCCTCATCCAACCTGGCCTTCAACACTTCCAGGGAGGAGCAGCCACAGTTTCTCTGGCCAACCTGGGACACTGTCTCACCACCCTCACACCAAAGAATTTCTTCCTCACATCTCAGCTCCATCTCCCCTCTGCCACTTTCAAGCCATCACCCCTTGTTCTGTCACTCCCTGCCCTTGGCCAAAGTCCCTCCCCAGCCTTCCTGGAGCCCCTTCAGGTACTGGGAGGCCACTAGAAGGTCTTCCCAGAGAGGAGACCTCATGTTTCATCCTGTGTTAGGTGTGTGCACTGGTGCTTAGCCCCAGGGATTGTCTGATGCTGATGATTTCTACTGCACTCGGTGCTGGTCTGTGAACCTGAACAGCTTCCCGAGAGGTCTCTGCCGTCTGCGCTCGGCGTTAGGAACAAGCCCGCTGCTATGGCAGAGCCTGGCAGGTAAACAGCCTTTGTGCCCAGCTCAGGTGAGGACTCAGCCCTCACCAAGCACTCCAGTGAGCAGGGTTAACCCCGAAACGCCCGCGATTCCCCTTCTCCACCCTGCCCTGCTGCTGGATTAGAGTAAAATCCAGAGGGTTTAGGCTTCATCGTGCCCATCACCACCAGGAGACGGAAAGGAAGGAAGCAGTTTTGTTACCCAGGGTGAGGCACCCAGTGGGCAGGACCCTCCCCTACCTCCAGTGTCTCGGTCCCAGACCTTCACTGTGCTGTCACACGAGGACGTGGCAACGCTGGGGGCGAGAGCTGGGCCCCGGGGAAGGAAAACACACGAGGTCGTGGTCTGGAAATGCCCTTTGTACTCGCGCACTCGGCTCCTCGTCTGCCGCAGGTCCCACAGCTGCAAGGCAACAGGCCCTGTTTAGAGCTCGGGCTCTGCTACTGTCACTTGCCCACCTGGAGCTGTTGTACAAAGAGGGGAAGATGGTTTTGGATAAAAAGCTCCTCGCCAGTTCTCAGAGGACCATGTCTACTGCCTTTGCCTCATGCTCACAGTCCTGGAGAACTTCAAACCCTGAAGGATTTTCACCATCAGTGACTTATTTGAGCAGGTGCCCACACCCATTAGAGCTGATGGGCTGAGACTGTGGGGGCAGAGAACCATGTCTCCAGCCTGCTCCTGTCCTCAGCTCTGCTCTCCCTGAGGTGAGATGGTCTCATCCTCTTGATGCTCACACACAGGACTGAGAACCTGTGGGGCTGAACCCTTGGTTTGGAAACACCTCGAGCGTGGAGTCCCTTACAGGCTTTCTGCAAGAACCTCCTGCTCCTTGATGTCATCACTGACACAAAATCCCAGTGCTTTCAGAAGGAAGAATATCTGCTCAGATACTCTCCCAGCAGAAGACCTTAACCAAAGGGACAGGCAGGAAGACACTAAGCTCTGACCCTGGATGGTGACACCAGCATAAAGCCAGCGCGGTGGGAGCAAGCAGATCCTTGGAGCACTGATCTCCTGCTCTCCACTGTATGCCATGGACATTGGAGAGAAAAAAAACCCAACAAAACCCCCCAAAAACCCAGAAGAAGCAGGATTTGCTGCCCAGGAAACTCACGGTCACCTCGGCGCCCTCCCCAGCGGAGCCGCTGCTGCTGCTGAGGCAGTGCCGCCCGTCCTGGCTCACGTCACAGCACGTCTGAATGTGCCCCTTGGCCGGGAACGTGTGTGCCACCTGCAGCTCCCGGCTGTCCCAGACCCTGCAAGCAACAAAAGTAGGGGAAGGGAAACTCCCAACACATCACTGCCGGGATCGGTTTCCCTCGGTACCCTCATGCTTTGCCTTTGCTGCCATCCCTGGTGGGACAGTCACAGAATCACAG